AAAAAAAAAAAAAAAAAAAAAAAGGAGAACATCGGTCATGACTCCGGCTGAGGACACAGTGGGAGTTGAGCTCACCTCCCGGTTCTGCCACAAAGACCGAATTTCTGTCCGGCTGCAATTCGAAGGTTAATGCCGCTGAGTAAAGGCTTCTTCTCGCCAATATCCCAAGCAATCCCTGCGTCTACGAATTCAAGCATACCGTTCATCGGCCATTCAGAGAGGCCATCATTAGACTGAATGGCCATGTTACTCTCTTCAAGAGGAGTTTCCTCGGCAAAGTCTTTGATGCGGGAAATGGCCCCCAGTGATGTTTCAAACAACGTCCAGTTTTGAATAAGCTCTGATAGAATGAGCCCCAGATCCATCATCATCACCAGGGCAATTCCCAAAAGACCTGGGTCCAGATGAGAGCGAAGAGCGATAGACGCTCCGACAAGAAGGACTGCTATGCCGGCCACAATCAGATTGAGCACGAGACTCAGCCAGCGCTGGATACACAGGAGAAGGTAGTAGGGTCTTTGGGCGGTGTCCAGCAAAGAAAGCATTCGGTTTGTCGTAGCATGAGTCCAGGCAAAGGCGCGAATAGTGGTGACTCCTGCCAGTGACTCGATAAAATGGGTGTAAAGAGGGCTCTTGAGCTCAATTCTGTAGATGGCCTGCATTAGTTTTACGAATCGAGGAATCACACATATTCAAGCAGATTAACGTAAGAAAAGCGTATAAAAGTAACCTACTCTAGCAGCCGCAGCTGACGGGACGTCTTAAGATAAAACCTCTGGATCAGATACAAAACTCCAAAGAGAAGGGGCAAAGCGGCTGCCAAATACGGCAATGAGGCTATGGCAGTGGCGCCTTGGGCAATAGCTCCGAAAAACACTAGAGGCCAATGAAGTTAGATTATTGTCCAGTTTATCTTCCAAGTCTCATTGCTGCGCTTACGGAACCCTGTAGATATGAAACCTCGAGGCAGGATCATGTCAACTAGCCTCATGTCCTGACTGAAACGCGTCACTAGAACTCCAGTCTCGAGGTTTGACAAAAAAGACAAGGGGGCACTAAACTCATTAGCCAATTATCGCAGCGTGTATTTAGAGATACTCACCCCATGCAAGTGCGCAGCACGGTTGTGTGAAGGTTTCTGGAGGCAAACGGGACAATAATGACCCATGTCCAGCTATTACCAGGTTAGAGAGGTCATCAAAGACATGCATTGATCGAAGAGAAATATTGAACATACAATACGGCAAGTACAAGCGCAAGGGCTTGGACAACAGAGAATGCTCCATACAGTCCAAGCCAGTAGCCTAGGCGCGAAGTACGGTCACTGCTGGAGGACCAAAGGCTGACCCATACATCTTGGAAAGAGTGAGTCTCATGCCGTCATGATCAATAATGTACGGGTCGGGGATCTCGTTATAACTTACAGCGGAATCCGCTCATACCGGCTTCTGTAATGAGGAAGAGAAGCCACGCAGCAATTCGTGACCAACCCAGAGCCGAAAAATAATACTTGTATACGGCCAGCTCAGTTGTCTGTCGACTGCCATCTTTGGAAGGACAAGCATTAGCATTGTTTGAGATGGCAGTCGGAGACACATCTGTTGGGTTGTCGCCTTCCTCCGGCTCATCTGCTTGTGTGAGTTGAGTATCATTGACACGAATGAAGCCATCAATGTCGTCTCGAAGTTGGGCATAGCTGCCTCGTTTGATCACCTGGCCATTGTCCCCGAGGACCATGATCAAGTCAGCTTGGGGTAAACAAAAGGCTGAAATAGGTTAGCCAAGTCAGTAGTCTGCGAGTGAGATACACATACTGCTGTGAGTAGCCAAGAATACAGTACTCCCCAACTGACGCAGGAGCCCAGCCGAGCCAAAGACGTTGTTAAATACAGTTCGGGCTGTGGAATTGTCCAGGCCACTTAGAACGTCGTCAAAACAAGCAATACGTTTGCGAGCATAGACCGCTCGTGCGATAGCCTACACACGCCACGGTTTACTTTAGAGGTTTTCTGGGAGTATAGACAATGCTGATCACTCACGATTCTTTGTCTCTGACCTCCACTCAGCTTAGAGCCTTTACTGCCGACGAGTGTTTCGTCGCTCGCTGGCATCTTCTTAAGATCCAAATCCAGTGCACATGCGCTTAGAACAGTGCGATACCAGTCAGGATCAAAAGTAGGCGATGAATCTTGACCAACTATATTTCTCCGTATTGAAGAATTGGATAGCCATGGTGTCTCCTCACAGAAGGCCAGGTCTGGGTACCTCACGAAGAGCTCCCCTTCCAACACGGGCGTCTCACCTGCCAGACCCTTAAGGAAGGTAGACTTACCGCAGCCGACTGGGCCGACAAGAATGACAAGATTACCAGAAGGGGCATCCTTCAGTGTAAGTGTGATACCATTTGTCTCTGGTACAGAGGGGGGTTTCCAGCCAAATCTGACATTTCGTAGAGATAGGACCACATCTTTCTCGCTGTGCGGATGCTGTGAGAGCGGAGGCAGTTCAATACCAGAGATGTTGCTGAATAATGTGGAATGAGTCGACAAGGACTCAGGAAGCTGTCTCTTCTCTATGTAAAGTATAGTCTTATTAGCTCACGTTGAGAAACTAAGAGTCTAGTTCAGGATCCGGAAAAACCGGAGCACAGTCACGCATGCTATGGCCGGGGACCGGAGCTCTCACCAAGGCGATTCTGGTTCTTAAGAAAGTCCTGGATTCTATGCAGGCAACCTATTGAAGCGAATGTGTCTGGAATCGCCAACAAGAGGTAGCTCAGTGGTGTGATCATCAAGCTAATAAGCGACAAGGAGGTGATGGCTTGGTTGACAGCAAGACCCCCAGAGCCTTGTAGCAATGCTACTATCGCATAGGCAGCCAGTGTCGCAAGCTGACCGATGATTATAGGGGAGTTGACTGGAATCAAGTATCAGTACGATCATGGGCTATTCATAGCAACGACAGTTGACTCGGGACAGGGACGAATGTAGGCACGTACTCATGCAGACACGAATTGACTGGATCCGGCGGAACTTCTTGGAGACTTCAAGCTCCTCCGTGCGCAATGCTTCGATCTTGGAACGCATTGTCTCGTCTAAGCCGAGAAACTTGACGTTGCGAATAGAACCCAGGATGGAAGTTGTGAAGTTGATCCGCTTCTCGGTGGCCCGAAGCCATTCTTTTTGCCGAGTGGAAACAGCATTACCCATAGCGAAGGACGAAGCCGTGAATACTAATTTGAACTTGTCAGACGAAGGAAAAGACGGGGTGTTGGTTGAGGAAATGGACAGAACTCACCTATCGCTACCAAAATTGGAGCGATGCAGACCGCACCGACCTGAGTTTCTAGCAACCATGTAGCCAGTGCTAACTGAAGGATATTTGCCCAAGTTTCACAGACGACCGAATAAAAATATTCGGCCAGCATCTCTATGTCAGAGCCCATAAGCGACATGGCACTGGATTCGTCTGTGCTCCCCAGAGGTAGATCCATCATATGCCGGAAGACGAGACTCATCAGACCGCCTCGGATCATTGTCACAGCACGATATCCCAGGTGCTCATAGGAAGCTCTAGAAATCTGCAAAAGAATGTCAATGTTACTTCCAGCAGTGCGACGAGATGGCAACTAGCGTACAGCAATCCCGGTGAAGACAATTGCAGTGGCCCCAATTAAGCCATAGCCAATGTTTAGTGAGAAAGGGTCAAGGCCATGTAATACACTGACCACTTTCCCAATGAGAAATGGCTGCGCAATACTGAATCCCACAACACAAAGCCGCGGGAAGGCGATCGCCACCATTTCCCAGCGTAGACACTTAATCACGGCCCAAAGTAACGCATTTTGTCCAGTCTGATTGCAGTGGGACCATGTATCTGCGAATCGGACAGACAACTCCGAAGACAAAAGCTTCTCGTGAACGGCAGGGAGGTCATCCCCGGCCAGTGACGCGGAGTGCCCTCTCCACAGCAGCCCATTCAGCCAGGTAAATAAGCCTCGGGTGAAAGGCCCGCTCACACTTTCAGTGGAGTAAAATTTCTCGGCTGATAGAAGCCATTTCTGCTTTTCAACACTGGCTAGTACCAAGAGAACTAGCTTGACGGCCAAAGATGTAGAAAGAAAGGCGGAGTAGGCTTGATTCTCCGGTAGCAGCCAGGCGGTGCGCACACGCGCAAGATCAAGGAGCAGCGAGATCAACAAATACACAGAGACAAGAAAAGATGGCCGAATTGAGCGGACGTGCTCTAGGTCAAGAAGTAGTATAACGCCTAGCGCCGATAATAGGTCGAGAACGGCACTTGCAAGAAGTGTGCGCCCTCCAACGGGGTGCTGTGTCGCAACAAGCACAAGTAGTACAACCTGAATAGCTGCAAAAGTCACAGAGACACTCTAGTGCATGATAATCTTAGAAGGCTCGGTCTGTCCATATCGAAACCTCCCTTTGGCAGTAGGAAGGTGGGAGGTGGGAGGCGGGATTACTCACCAGTGTCACCACTCGAAGTGTGGAAGAGAGCACCTTCTGTGACTGTCTGAACAAGTGGAGCACACGAAAAGACGCCAGAAGGAGGAAGCAAGCGGCTGGAACGATGCTCAGGATATCTGACTCGAAAAGTACAGTGAAGTCGAATCCCCCGCGACAGTCCCCTGTAGCGACAATAGGCCCAAACTGGCCATCGTCGCATGCGTCCGTGGCCCACGTCAACACCATGGTGGGACCGGCGCAAGGCCAGAAAAACGAAAAATAGAATGTTGAAGTGAGAGGGCCGATGAGATTCCGGCGAGAATTAGCAAGGGAGAGGCTCTCATCTACGAAGAAGGCGCATAACGCGTCTTGAAAATGCTCAGCTGCTGGTCAAGCTTCCTTCGCACGAGGATCTGCACCTTTTGTTATCTTCATACGAACTACTCGCCGTATTGTCTTTCAGGACCATGATAAATGTCAGCTCCGTGCTAGTGTTTACGCTAAGTACTGGGGTCTATGGTTAGAAACAGGGTATCGCGGGTTCCAACAGCAACACACTTTCTTTGATTGGCACAACTCACTAGCCCAACTTTGGCTAATGGTAATAATCATCTTCGTCTCGATTTGGTATTGGACTGATAAATGAAATATCATGGGATTTAGATAAACATCTAAATGTGCCAAGGCTACCTAAGCTCCACCGCCGGAGGTCCGACAGCGCCCCAAAATCTAGCCGAGCCGGGCCCTAAGAATCTATCCGTGGCATGCCTTGACAGCCAATCATTCCTTTTTCGGAAGGTATATGCATGTGCATATCTATCTGTAGCAGTATCCCTGGTCAATTTAGTGATGTTGTATGCATGGCCCCCGAAAATCCGCCTTCCCTTTGCCTTATCAGTAGCTATGCGATGGTCCTTTCGCCAAATCTCAGATTCGATCGTGCGGGATTTTCCGCCAGGTGAAATATGGATTAGCATTTCAAAATAGCTCATACAGCCAATATAATGTTCTACCTTGACTGCATGTTCACAAAGCAGTAGCAGTGCTTGGCAAGACCTGAGGCCGCATAGCGTGCAGCGTCAACCTCTTAAAGTTTCCAAAGGATATTATGATACATCTCGCCTAGCACTTTGATGGCCAATGCAGCACGCCCTTGATGTTGGCTTGAGGTGAGGTTCCGCGCTATCTATATGGTGAAGTAGTATAGTACCCTCCTCCGAGGACTTTATGCAGGTCCTGCTGGCGGGCTGATTGGTGTGTTCGGATGCACTAGAGTACTCCAGGTCGATGTAACAGGACTAAGTCCAGTGGCGTTCAATGTAAATCTACGCCTCAGAAGGCGTAATTGTTCCTCAAACGCAGCCAACCGAACAAAGTTGGCTTGGTAATAGAAAACGATTCCAGCCCGAAAGTCTATACCTAGCTTTAAACCATAGGTTATCTTCTACTTCTAAGGAAAAGGGAAATGTATTGTAGATGTAAAGAGGATTTACTATACTGATTGGATCAAGTCACTTCTGGCCAGATGTACGACCCCTAAAAGAAAAAGGGGAAAAAAGGGAAAAAGAACAGATGACAACTTTAGAAGAGCATGTTGAATGCTTTCTTGCTAAATCTAAAATGGACTAAATACAAAAAGTGACAACTTTCCCCATGCCTCCCAGGAACAGGTACGGTACTGAGAGACGGGTACGCGTGGCTGCACCTCTCACGGGCTTCTCCCAAGCGCGGATGATCCCGCACCCAATAATCAAGCCGCCAGCTAGTTGGTTTCAGTGTACTTGTTGTAGAACGCCTGACCGACGGTTGAGTCAGTCTCGGCATCCTCGCGCTTGCTCTCCTTGTACTTGTTGTAAAATGCTTGACCAACAGTGGGGTCGGTCTCAGCATCCTCACGCTTTTCATTGTACTTGTTGTAAAATGCTTGGCCGACGGTTGAGTCAGTCTCAGCATCCTCACGCTTGCTCTCCTTGTACTTGTTGTAGAATGCTTGACCAACAGCTGAGTCAGTCTCGGCATCCTCGCGCTTTTCATTGTACTTGTTGTAAAATGCTTGACCAACGGTGGAGTCAGTCTCGGCATCCTCGCGCTTTTC